AGGGAGCCCGATGTGGGGCTCGATCCCAGGACCCTGAGATCATGACCTGAGCTGAAGGCAGATGCTTAACCATCTGAGCCACCCAGGCACCCCTTTTTCTTCATTTTTTAAAAGATTTTATTTATTTATTTATTTGAGAGAGAGAAAGAGAATGGGCAGGGCGGGGGTGGGTGTGGGGAGCAGAGGGAGGGGGACAAGCAGATTATGCTCTGAATGTGGAGCCTGATGTGGGGGCTGGATCTCACAACCCATGAGATCATGACCTGAGCTGAAGTCAGGGGGCTTAATCCCACAACTCTGCGATCATGACCTGAGCCGAAATCAAGAGTTGAGCGCTTAGCTGACTGAGGCACCCACGTGCCCCATTGTTTTTTTCATAGTAACTGTATTCTTTCTTTCTTTCTTTTTTTAATACTTATTTGAGAAAGTGAGCATGTGCGCAAGAGTGGGGGGAAGGGCAGAGGGAGAGAATCTTGAAGCATACCCCCCCTCTGAGGTGGGAGCCTGACAGGGGGCTGGATCTCACAACCCATGAGATCATCACCTGAACTGAAACTAAGAGTCGGATGCTCAACTGACTGAGCCACCCAGGTGCCCCTGTATCCTTTATTTTTTTGCTTGTTCATTGTCTCTCTCCCCAACTAGCATATAAGCTTCGTGAGGATAAGTTTCTTTGGTTTACTGTATTTTTAAGGACAATGCCTAGCACCTAGTGAGCATTTAATACTTGTTGAAGAAAATGGGAAGAAAAGCTTGTTTTATGGACTTAATTGTGATTTTCTTTGGGTAAGAGCCATAACATCTCTGTTCTTAAGAGTTTTTTTGAAAACTACTACTGTTAAATGTTGAAAAACCTAGTATCTGTATGATTCCATGGATTGAAATTGATTGTTTTCCCCAGTTCTTTCAGAACTCATCAAATTGAGGCTCTTCCAACCAGCTCTGCAGTTAATGGATTTAAGGCAAATGTTGTCTTTAAGGAGATTGAGAAGAAGCTTGAAGAGGTAAGTGAGATTTATATAAAATACTGCCAAGAGGACCTTGAGGCTAGAGGAAGCAGATACAGATTTCTGGTGTTACCATGAAATGATACAAATTAAAAATTTATATAATATTGTCAAGTATTGAATGTATTTTAGATTTCTGAGTGTTACTATTATAGTTTCTTTGTAATTCTGATAAGACTGCATTTCAGGGGCGCCTGGGTGGCTCAGTTGGTTAAGCGACTGCCTTCAGCTCAGGTCATGGTCCTGGAGTCCCGGGGTCGAGTCCTGCATTGGGCTCCCTGCTCAGCGGGGAGTCTGCTTCTCCCTCTGATCCTCTTCCCTCTCATGCTCTCTGTCTCTCATTCTTTCTCTCTCAAATAAATAAATAAAATTAAAAAAAAAAAAAGACTGCATTTCATAGATGTACAAATCTCCACACTTGAGTTCTATAAAGAACTGTGGTAAAATGCTGTGACAATCTGAACTGTAGAGGAAAGGCTAGTCCTTGTCACTCTCCTCAGTCCTCTCTTTGTCAGGGAGATAATAATTTTGGACAAAGTTCATATGTAAAGGGATTCTCCCTTATTTTGGTGTAAATTTCCTTCTGAATTAAAAAGACCTTACTTAGAACCATTAAAAAAGAATAATATTTAAAGTGAATCTTTAGGGGCACCTGGGTGCCTCAGTTTGTTAAGCAACTGCCTTCGGCTCAGGTCATGATCCCGGAGTCCTGGGATCAAGTCCCACATCGGGCTCCTGGCTCAGCAGGGAGCCTGCTTCTCCCTCTGACCCTCTCCCCTCTCATGCTGTTTCTCACTCTCTTTCTCTGTCAAATAAAAAAAATTCTTTTAAATCTTAAAAAAAAATTAAAAAAATAAAGTGAGTCTTTAAAGGTACCTAATAGGGGCACCTGGGTGACTCTGTCGGTTAAGCATCTGCCTTCGGCTCAGGTCATGATCCTAGGGTCCTGGGATCGAGTCCCACATCGGGCTCCCTGCTCAGCGGGGAGTTTGCTTCTCCCTCTCCCTTTGCCTACCGCTCCCCCTGCTTGTGCTCGTTCTCTCTCTCTCTCTGACAAATAAATAAATAAAATCTTAAAAAAAACATTCACACTGAACATATGAAAAAGAAAAATTAAAAAACTCCTGAAATTCCATTACTTAGCGTTCACTAAAATGTTAACAGTGGTAGACATTGTTTCAGACCTCTCTCTGTGTATGTGACTATGCAGTTCTACGTAACTAGGATCATACGGTACATGTTCGGTTTTTAAATTGTATTCTGTATACAAATTTATTTTTATGTACAGTAATCAGTTCTTGATAGATAATAATCATACTAAGGCCATCTAACAGTAACTCTTAAAAAAAGAGAGCTTTTTTTTTTTTGAGAGTTCTTCTCTTTAAGCAAAATTACATATTTACATCATTGTTTGAAACCTAAAAGCATCTCGGAATATCATTACTGATTTTAATTTTCAGACTAATAAGGCACGGTTACAGCCACAGTCACACAATTCCAATTACACATCTATTAAGCTGCCCAAAGGGGGCTGAAATAAAAGGATCAGAGCAGTTAAGCTGTGTATTTCATTTGTTCTACAGTGTGAAAGGCATACATTGTGCATATCTCCTAACTCCTTCATTGTAGCACAAAGAACTTAACATCTAAGGTGATTGCTTGCACTGTGAGTGGAAAACAGTCAGTGCGACTGATGTGTCTTGACAAAGGACACTGTATTTCTAGGATTTTCATGATCAGGACCTTCCTGCGGTAGAGAGGGCCAGGTTTGCCAGTTCTGGGCAGGCAGGCACTGGTCCAGGAGCTGCAGACCTGTCCTGCTACCATCTTGTGGGGATACATCTGCATGGGGGGGTTATAAAACCTTGTTTTATAACCTGCTCTTTTTTTTTAAAGATTTTATTTATTTATTTGAGACAGAGAGAATGAGAGAGACAGAG